AACTATACTATTAAAGTATTTTATAAATTAAATTTTTCTATATTTTTCCCATATTGTAGTTTTGAATTGTACAGATCAAATTTTAATACTTAAAATTTATTTATTTATTTTTATATATTTCTATGAAATACTAAATCAAAATCATTCATTTTTTACGTTAAACTGAAGATGAAATCCAGAAGAAAAAAAGCGGGGTGGGAATTTTGCCATGGTGTCCGAACACCCCACGAAACATTCAAGTTATTCAGCAGAAGGCTCTGGATTAGACACGGAGAAGACAAAAGAGTGTGGGGTCCAGATTGACTTCTAGTTGACCAATTCTGGACACGTGGCAGTTGTTCACTTTGTGGCCTCTTCAAAGTTGCCATATGAGAGATCAGGAACAAACCCAGAAGGGAGAAGATGGCCTTCTTGGAAAAGTCTTCTCTGCTTTTTGCCGTGCACTTTCGAAAAAGCCAAAAGCCATTAACACAAACGAAAGCAAAGAAACAATAATTCGAAATGAGAATGTTAAAGCAGAATGACAGGGGAAAAAAAAAAGGTTAGAAATTATAAATCTCAAATCAAATTTGGTAACACAATTTTATTTAGTATTGACAAGTCTGAATTTATAAATAACAACAAATTTTTATTGACATTCCTTATTTGACATTTACAAAATTCCAGCTTCTTTTTTTGTTATTGTCCCTAATGCCAACTTCAAATTTTGATATAAAAATTAATTGATTAATTTGAATAGATAAAAAAATTTTAAATTAGTTATTTATAATAAATAGGTGTTATCTTCTTTAAAATATTCTTACTAATCATATGTATTAATTAGAACTATCATTTGGTGGAATATTTAACATATACAACTACTGATAAAGATTATTTTAAAAAATAGATAAATATAAAAAATAAATTAAAAATTTATATTTAAAGTTAAATTAAAAGTCGAATTGGTTTTTATATCAAATGGCACAACCAGTATCATTCGTTTGCCGCGTAGCTTTCTCTGAGATGATGACCCAAGTTACTTTAAGCGACGCGTCAAGGACTAGTCAAGGTAAACTTGTGGCCTGGGTTTACCAGGAGTCTTCAAAGCATGCATCTATAAGTTTGGCTACCGTATATCTTCACCTCACCGCACTGAATCATATCTTACTAAATTCTAATCTTCCTCTTCTCCACAACCTACCTTCCCTTTGTCTTTCTCGTCTGCTCTGAATTTAGCTTCAACACAGCAATATACGCAAATGACGATGAAGGTCAGAACCGGACCCCTAATCTTTCAAACTTCCTTCCAAGTCTTAATGAATATTATTTTTTTGATTCTCCTTGCATTGATTAAGATAGCAGCTGATGATTTATTTAATCTGCTGACAGAAAATAGTGTTGAAGGTGGAACTACACGGTGAAAGAACCAGGCAAAAGGTCATGAAAACAACCTCAGGCATTTCAGGTATATACTCTATCTCCTTTAAGCAAATCCTGAGTTTTAAGTCTTACGAGTGAAAACAGAAAACATCACATTCCTTGGAGTTTTAATCTAAACCCAGTTTCGTTCGAAGATTAGCTCATCGAACAGAATATATACTATATGGTTGTTCTATGAAAGGGAAAGAATTGACAGGTTTGGTTTTGTTTTGCAGGAGTTGAGTCAGTGAACGTGGACATGAAGGACAAGAAATTAACTGTAACAGGAGACATCGACCCAGTTAAGGTGGTGGAAAAGCTAAGGAAGTTGTGTCATACAGAGATAGTATCTGTTGGAGCAGCCAAAGAGTCTGAGAAGAAAGAAGATAAAAAGATAAAGAATATAGCTAAAATGATAGTGCCTCCTCCTTCGAGCTACAGCCATGTTTATTATCCTCCACCTTATTATGTTGGAACTGTGGATGGGTATCCTAATAGTGGCTGTGTCATCTGCTAAATTTTGAACTTACGTTTGTGGGAAAGAAAAAATAAAGAGAAAAGATAAGGAAGCATGTGGTTGTGATGATAGATATTTAGGCCTGTGTCTTTTTCATATAAATAGAGAACAGAAGATGAAGATAAGAAAATATATATATTTATAGAGATGTGCTGGGCTTTTATTTTTACCTCTCTTGGATTTGGATTGAAATTTGAAAGTGACGTGCTTGAAGGGATTGGTTTGTTATACAAAGGTTGTCTTCTTCATATTTAGCTTTTTCATTTTTTTCATTAAAAGACAAAAAAAAAAGGGTACATAAAAGGCCAGCCCATCATATTTGAAAAATTTGAGCTTAAGCTCAAATTTTGATTGTCTTCTTTGAAGGGCCAATATCAGTCGATAAAAATTTGCCATAAAGTTGTACTAATTTTGAAGGACTACATAATAATTACGTGATCATTAATTATATTATATCTTCAAGGACCACAGATAACCCCAGCACTAAAAGAAAATGGGGGCGCGCGCGCGCGCGCACACACAATATGATAGTGCCCCCAAATAAAAGTTCCAAAGACGTGCAAAATCTTGTGTTGTACGTTGGTGCCAAGAGGAAGCTCTGAGTTTCATTTGATCTCTTGGTTTATTTCAGATTCTTTAGATATAGATTTAAGGGTTTGTCATCATGTTGAGACTTCTTGGGTAGTTTGCTCTCTGCTTATTTCATCAAAAGTTGACACACACACACACATATTAATTATGAAATTACGAAATTATAATTAGAGTAGTATGTATGTTCGCTATTGAAAATTATAGTTACAATGAGTATATTCGCAAATTTTGCGCTTGGTGTGAAATTTTGCTTCTCAATTTATTCACCTTTTATGAAGTTTAGAAGAAAATACATTAATTTAAATCTCGTAAAACTATTTTAAAAGTTTTAAGATCATAAATATTTTTTAAAAATAAAAATTATTATTATTATGTTTAATGTAATTTATAATTGTGGAAACTAAGATTTTCAATTTACACTATATGAAAAATATTTCAATAACATATTGGTATCCACGTCCCATCCTATCCTAATTTGATGCAACTAAATTCTTAAATTCTTATAGTTTTAACTCGTACTGTTCCAATAGTTTAGTCATTTACAACACTAATCCTTAAATTTCAGAAAAATATTAATTATTATAATTTTATTTTCTAAAATGTAGGAATGAACATGTGGGTTTTAAATCTTAAATAGAACATCTTTAAAGAGGGACTCATATCCTCTCTAAATCCCCCTATTTTCTTTTCCCTCTCAATCCCACTTTCACCCTTAAATCAAAATGAATAGTTTAAATTTAATATTTTATAAAACTATTATATAATATTACATAAAAATAAATCTAAATTGTTAAAACTTGACCTACAAAGTACTCAAATGTAGACTATTATTGATATATCATGTAAATTTAAAATGTATTTTTCTTCATATTGTAGTGCTGAACTGTGCAGATCAAATATTAATCATTTATTTATTTTTAATCTAAAAATGAAGATGAAATTGTGAGGGGAAAAAAAAGTAAAGGAGGAATTTTGAGAGAATCTAAATGTTTTAGATTGGGTCCATCAGGCCACTAACGAAAATCACAATTATCACCTTTTTTTTTGTCATCAAAATCATAATTATCCTCTATTATACTTTTTTATTCATGACAATCATGTTCAACATGAAATTATATATATTTTATAATATGAAGTTATATATTAAATCTCTTTTATTTATATACCTTTTATTTTTAAAAAATTATATTTAAGAGGCCAAAGAAAAAGTCATGTTGGCGTCCAAATGCCTAAAATATCTAATGATTATTTCACACAGACTAAAAAAAATCTTAAACTTTATTAATAACTCTCATTTAAAATTTAACAACTTTCTAACTTTATCCCTATTTAATATACATTATATATATCTCATGTAAACAAAATCAACACAATAATAAATAAAGGGTAAAATTATATATTCATATAAAAAAATTTTCTAAGTGCCATATAAATATGATCATAAAAAGTCTTTCTCTTTGCCTTATAAATAGAACCAAAAAAGTAAATCTGTTCCCAAGTTTTTATCCAGAAGATCTAAATATTTGAAAGTTTTTTATGAACAAGTTTGTTTTAGAAATTTAAAATTACAATAATACTATTTTTTGTCAAGGAACAAAAAACCAGACCAGACATTAAACTGGTTGAGGGAGTTGTTTAAGAGTTAGTGGGTCAGACCGAGGTCCAACCGAAATCAAATCGGTCATATTAAAATAATATAGTTTAATTAAAAATAAAAAAAATATAACAACAATAATAATCACCAATAATAAAATACAAGAAAATACAACAATAGTTTGACTGTAACAATAACAAAGTATAACAATATTAAGAAATTTGATGTTTATGATTCCTTAATAACTAAAATTTAATAATTATTAATACCAAAATTATAATCAAAATTTATTCAAATTCATAATGACTGAGATATTAGGAGCTGCATGAGAAAAAATACTATCAATAACAATATAATTATCCAAACCGGTTCATTACCGATTCACACCGGTTCCACTGGTTCACCCCCCGGTTCGATATAAAGCCAGTTCGGTAATTAAACCAAACCAGACCACAGGTCAGTTCATCGTTTTTCCAGTTGATTCGGCTTGTTCGGTCTGATTTTTGTTCACTGTTTTTTATGGTCAAAAGACTAACGTTAATAATTAAAATAGTGACGTGATCATTAATAATTTTAAGAATATAGGATAATATTGTTTTTAAATTTTTGGAGTAAATTTATTTCCCCAAAAACTCTCAGATACTCAATATTTTAAGTAAAAACTCTTATAATAAATTTACATCTTAACCTAATCATTTAACCTAATCATTAATAATGCAAACAAAGCAAAGAATCAATAATTCAAAAATGATGACCTCATTCATGTTTCGCGTCATCCCAAGTGACTTAAAGCGAAGCGTCAAGATAAGATTTCTGACTTGGTTTACTCGGAGTCTTCCATCCAAGCATCTATAAATTAGGCTGCCATATATCTTCACTTCACCACACTGAACCATATTTTCTAATAATCTTCCTCTTTTTCACAAACCTACTTTCCCTTTAGCTTTTACTACTCTGAAATTAGCTTCAACACATAAACAAAATCGCAAATGACGATGAAGGTCAGAACTATGCCCTGCTCTTTCAAACGTCCTTGCTTCCAAGTCTGAATGAATATTATTGTTTCGATTCCCTTTGAATTGGCTAATATGGTGGTTTGATGATTTATTTTCCTGCAGAAAGTAGTGTTGAAGTTGGAACTGCACGGTGATAGAACCAAGCAAAAGGTCATGAAAACTACCTCAGGCATATCAGGTATACTCTGTCTCCTTTAAGCAAATCCTGAGTTTTAAGTCTTCTAAGCAAAAATTCACGACGGTTAAAGTTTTAAACCCAATTTCATTCGAACTTGGATTATTAGCTGATTGTACAGAATACTATACGGTTGCTATGGCACAGGGGAAAATTGACTGGTTTGGTTTTCTTTTGCAGGGGTTGAGTCAGTGAACATGGACATGAAGGACAAGAAATTAACCGTAACAGGAGACATCGACCTAGTTAAGGTAGCAGGAAAGCTAAGGAAGTTGTGTCATACAGAGATAGTGTCTGTTGGAGAAGCCAAGGAGTCTGAGAAGAAAGAAGAAGAAAAGATAGAGGATATAGCTAAAGCAATTGTGCCTGCTCCTTTGAATTACAGCCACGTTTATTATCCACTGCCACCTTATTATGTTGGAACTGTGGAAGAGTATCCCAATTGTGGCTGCGTCATCTGCTAAATTTTGAATTTATGTTTGCGGGGAAAAAAAATGAAGAGAAAGATAAGGAAGCATGTAGTTGCGATGATAGATATGTAGGCTTTGTCTTTTATATATATTTATAGAGAGAGATAACAGAAGATCAAGATAGGAAAGTATATATTTATAGAGAGGTGGTGGACTTTTATTTTTACCCCTCTTGGTTTGGATTGAAAGTGACCTGCTTGGAGGGGTTTCTTTGTTGTACAAAAGTAGTCTGAAAAATTGTTATGATTGAAGATATTTTTATAGCCTTGGTAAATTTTGGTTTTCTTCTTAATATTTAGTTTTTTCATTAAAAGACAAACTTATTAAAAAAAAAAAAACAAGTACATAAAAATTTAAGCCCTTGTACTTTAATACGTAAAGCTTGTTGTCGCAGCTAATTTGCGTGACTGGTTTGCTCTTAATTTAAAAAGAGACTTGGGAAATAACCTAGATGGGAATTGGTATTGCATGGGGGGTGTCTGGTTATCGAGGAATAATGATGTCTTTGATGATGATTTTACCAATCCTTCGGATCCAACTTTCACTGTAACGCATACCTGGACACGTTATGCGAACATGCAGGATGCTGTGGCTGATCTAAACTTTCCCCAAATAACTGATTCTAATTGGCTCCCTCCCCCACATGGATGGCACTACAAAAAAACAGCTAGTTACGGACGGAATTAGGGACGGAAAATTATTCCGTGACTAATTCCGTGGCTACAATATAATATTTAATATAATATAATATAATAATATAATAAATATAATATATATAATTAAATTATATATCTTATGAATGTTAAATAAAAGAATTAAATTTAAAAAATATATTTATGAAAAAATTATTTACTATTTAAAATTCAAAATTAGTGTCATTAGAAATTAATATTATATTTAAAATAATTTTTTAAAAAAATAAAGCATTATAAAATAAATAGTAAAACAAATATCTAAGTTATGATTAAAATTATCATATTTTAGTTTCTAATAATATATATGTGTATATATAATTATTTGTGTAAGAGAATATTATATATATATATATATTTTGCATAATAAGTCCGTAAGTTCATTGTAGCTCAACTGGTGAAGTCGCGCGCGTGCATAAACAAGGTCTTTGGTTCGAGCCGTGGAGAAGTCACTTTGAGGGGGAATTATATGGTAGCAACATGTGGCAATACAAGGTGGCATGTGAGATAGTGACACGTGGCGGTAGAGGTGAGGTGGCAGTGACACGAGGAGATGAGGTGATGACATGTGGTGGCGAAGGTGAGGTGGCATTTTAATTTTTTTAAAAAAATATATTAGTTACGGAATTAGCGAATAGGAATTCCATCAGTAATTAGAGATGGAAAAATTCCGTCAATGATCCAATTAGTCACAAAAAAATTAGCGATGGAACTAATTCCATCGCTAATTCTGTCGGTGCTATGATTCCATCGCTAATTCCGTCCCTAAATAAAAATTCTATCGGTAAATTACATCGCTAATCAAATGTTTTTGGTAGTGTGGGTCAAAATTGATGTATCTCACAGTAGAGCTGGATGTGGTGGGGTTACCCGAGATCACAGTGGGGCTTGGATTGCTGATTTTAAACAATCTTTGGGATCTTTTAGTGTTTACGAAGCTGAGGAGTGAGCTATATTTAAAGGTCTCAACCTTGCTAGGGATCTTGGATTCAAGAAAGTCATTCTTGAATCGGATGCAAAGAATGTAGTGGATATATATGATGATACACGGGTTTTTTTAACGAGAGATGTAGCCTTTTATTTCTACAGATCAAAAAGCTAATGCAGTATGCTTGGGAGTTGCAAGTGTGTTATATTCTCAGGGAAATGAACAAAGTGGCTGATCACCTTGCAAAGGAAGGGGTTGCGTAATCTTCTCTTTTAGATGTGTCTCGTAATTTGAGCAGCCTAGTGGAGCACGAGTGTATGGGATTTAATCCCCATATTTAACCTTTTATTTGTCTTTAGGCGTTAAGCCTTCTTATGTATGGGGGGGGGGGGGAAGCTTGTCGTTTAATTTTAATTGAGGTTGTTGACACTTGTTGAATTGGTAGCTGACTATGAATGCATATGGACACACATATCCAGGTAAGCCAGTGGGCTTCCTCTGTGTGTAGAATTAAAAAGGAAAAAAGGCAGTAGCCTCGACTTCCTTTTCCTAATTCGGCCTCAAGTCTGAAACCAAGAGGGGTTACTAACGGAAGACTATTTCAAAGTTGAATAAGGCTATTATTCATTACCACGTGGCCATTATTTTGCCGATTTTTCTCTCAACCCAATAAAGCCTTAAAACAAGAACTAACACACCTATTTATTTGTTAATTCATTTACATTTCTTGTTAATTTCTTTATGTTTCTTGTCAATCCCCTTATTTTGGTTGTTAATTCACTTACATTCTTCATTAATGCCGTTATATTTCTTGTAATATCCCTTGTTTTTGTTGTTAATCCATTTATGTTTTCTTAAATTGATAATTTAATAGCAAAACTACACCATAAAATATTTTACAATGGTGAATGCACATAAAAAAAATATTTCAGGGTATTAGACAGGCCACAAAATATTTTAAGATACTAAACGTATCTAACAAAATACTTAGAGGCTATTTGGTTCATTGAATCATAGGTAATAGAATGTAATGTAATAACAAGGAATGGAATGTAATACAAAGATGATTACAATAAATGTGTTTGGCTCATCTTGAGAATGTTAAAAAAAAAATTGTATTAAATTTAATAAACATAAAAATGAAAAAGACTAAAATATCCTCATCTTTTTTCTTATTGTCTCCTTCTAACTCAACGCCTTCTTCCTCCTCCTCCTCTCTTCACACCAGTCACCATAATAAATTTTTAGAAACATAATCCAAGGTTTCAAGACAAAAATGGAATTATAAAATCAATGGGTGAAGGAGATATCAAATTTGTAAAGATGAACAAAAATTTGGATTAACAAAGATAAACAAGGGTCTAGATCCACAAAAAGTGGAATCATGGAGGTGAAGGAGGTAAGGGACAGCTGCGCAGTTGCTAAGTAGAGAGGTGCTTCCACCTCTGTTTCGTTTCACATTACATTCACATAATCAAATTAAGTAATATCTTTTCCCTCTCCCATGTGTGTGATTTTGAGCCCATTGTAATCTTCTTTTTGTTGAAATTCTCAAATTGTATAATCGTTCGAATTCATTTCAGAGAAAGCTAGTCTTACTTTTCCTGAAAATTTAGGGTACGTTTGCAGGGCTTTTGGGGGGCTTAAAAGTAGCTTATTTGTAGTGTAAGCCCGATTGGAAAAATCATGGTGATTGGTTGGGCTTAAAAAAAAAAAAGGAGCTTATGGAATTTAAGTTGGCAAATGTACGTTGTGGCTCAAGCTAAATTTTCTGGCTTATTGGATCAATTTAAGAGCTTATTTTTTACCATTGAGATGTCAGATGGTTATTTTTCTCTTACTTCGGCCAATATTCTGTCATTTCTTCACCTCTTTTTTTTTTTCCCTTTCGCCTCAGAGCTCTCCAGTCTCTACGACCGCGAGCTGCCTCCCCTCATCCTCCGTCATGTCCTCGCCAGAACCACCGAGACTTGGTCGTCGTGAGCTCCGTCATGTCTCCATCGTGTGGTTATCGTGCTGGGTGTGGCTTTGAGTAATCGAGAGCCAAGTCCTTCATCGCGACTCCACCTTGTTCGAGCTACTGTCGGCATCTCCAACCCAAGTCGCCACTGTCTTCTGGTCCATGTGAGGTGTGTGTCGGGATCTTAGCCTCCCAGTAGAATAGAGTGTCCGGTCTACCTTTAGCAAGGTTTGGTTGGTCCGATCCGTGACAGGTTGGGGGGTTCCTATTTTTGTGTTGGTTTTCGGTGAATATGGGAGTGATACGCAATTGATCCAAGCATGTGGAGTTGTGTGTGTGTTGATCTGCGTGTGAGCTGATAGAACATTTGCTCTTCATCCCCTGTTGATTCCTAAAACTATCGTCTTCCTGCTGTCCTATTTAGTAACCGTGTTGTCCTATTTTTTTTTCCTTCTGGTTCAGTGCTACGTTCCCTGAAATGGCCATCGTCCTTACTGTCAGTCAAGGCCACTCCCTTCAACAGTGGAAGCAGGGAAATTTAGTAACCGAATTGACTGAAAATCATTCTTCTTCCTCTCGGAAATACTTACTCTCCAGCACCATCGTCTTGTCCTATTTTTTTCCCCTTCTGGTTCAGTGCTCTGTTTCGGTGAAATGGCAGTTGTCCCTAGAGTCGGTCAAGACCACTCCCTTCGTCGTCGTCCCTAATGTTATTCAGCACTGTGTTTCATGCTCTGTTTGTTGAATCTAAATATTTGATGTTGAATCATCTTCAGGCTTCTATGTACTCTTTTTATAATGTTTATAGAAATTTAACAGAAGGAATTGCTGAGTTCTGTGCTATATGAATTTTGGAGCTTGAGGTTAATGTATTGCCTTTCCTTTTTCTCTTGTTATACTTCTATCTCTCTTTGCAAATGGGACTATTGGAGCTTCCACATGACGAAAATCTCTAAACACAAACAAATATATACACATATATATATATAAAAGGAAAAATGTGGGAGATTTTTTGGGTAAAAATAATACTTTTATTAAGTGGTTACTAATACTTGGTGGATATCTTACATGTGAATATCTTGATTTTGTTTTTCAAAAATTTAAACCTAATGTCTAATAAATAAGTCAAATACTAAATTACGGGTAAGTGGATGTTAGGATAAAGAATTTATTCTACTTTTAAGACAAGGGATTCTTGTGTGATAATGATAAATGGTCTAAGAATGATAGATCCTAATCCAAACACAATGGTGGAACAAAATTTGTTTCATTCATGTGTGTGTATATATATATATATATATATATATTTTGAGTGCAGTTCATGTATAATTTTTAATATTGTATCATGCTTAATACAAATGTTTAATGTGTCTAGCAACACATATGATCAATATGTGATGTTCAATTTGGTAATTTATTATTTATTTATTTTTATCATTTAATATTTTAATAATAATTTTTTTAAGAAAAACTTAAACCTAAACCGTTAAAATATTAACTTAGTGGTTAAAAAAAGAAAATGAGGGAAGAAGAGAAGAAGGAAAGACAAGGTTTTCAAAGCGATGAATAAATAGTCTAATGTCATCCTAATCCAAACACTTTTTTGTCTTGGGATTTCTTCTTAATTTTAGGTGAGAAGAATATGTAAATAACATATATTTTTGTTTGGGTAGAACTTATTTCTTACATAATGT